TTAGGTAGGATTTAAGATAAAGAAGACAACCACCCCCACGCCTAGTCGTGCGGTCTTGGCGGTAAAAATCGAAGACATCTATGAGAAGGGCAGAGTCAGGAATTAGAGAATGGGTCCAAGAATCTGTAACACATATAATATCAGGCGTCATTTCCAGAGCAATGGCTCTGATTTGGGCCATCTTGTTTATAACAGACCTGGCATTCAATAATATAATATCTAATGTGTTTCGAACGGCAATGCTATTTTCGACGGTATTTTAAAAAATTTGGAGGCGGATATGTAAGCTGTGAATTAATGACACTTGGAGAATAAGTACCAGTTAATTTAGAGTTATTGACGTACGAGGAGTCAGCAAGAGAAGGCTGAGTATGAGACCTAAAGGAGGTGGGGATATACTTTTCAAACATTGGAATGCTAGGGGAGTTAGAACATGGATAGACTTGTTGGTAGTTAAATAATGGAGGAAGGGGAGTGCAGCGTATCCTGCCCGGGCCGTCAGGACATCATGCCACAAACGCGTGACAAACGAACGATCAAGTTCATGGCCCCCTGTTCACACCGTCTTTGTGCTGATTGGCCAGCCATCAACCTATGACAGTCCCCCTTGCCATATACCCGGCCGTTTCCACAAGCCTCCTCACTTGTGCTGTCTATCGTACTCAGTACACGTCCTATTTCCAATTAGCCTTCTGTTTTGCATACATAACATTGGCGACGCAGTCTAACGAACATGTCTTCATTGCTGCCTACACCGCTACCTTTTTGGCCAAAGAACACCCCGAAGCCCTCAAATGACTCGTGGTTGCAATGGAGGAAGACGCTTGAGGATTATATTGAACTACTCCCGATTTTGTCACCCACGATTGTACTAGACGCCCCATCTAAGTTGAAACTCCTCCGGACGAATCTCGGAGAGTTGGGACAACGATATTTCGATGCCCTCAATCTACAAAAGGCTACAGATCTCCAAACAGCCTTCTCAAAACTCGAGTCAGCGTGGGGAGGAAAGGACAACGTCTTTCTCAGTCGCTATCGGTTTTGTCAAATGCGTCAAGAATCCAATCAATGTGTCAGTGATTTTATTAGACATTTAACTACTGCCCCGTACCACGCTGCTTCAAATGGCCTCGCAGAGCGTGCAGTCCAGACAATAAAGCACGGAATAGCCAGACAGACAGAATCGGACTTGACCACCAAGTTGTCACGCTTTCTGTTCAGCTATCGCATAACACCGAACGACTCAACGGGTGCTTCGCCTGCAGAATTGATGTTCAAGCGGCAGTTGCGCACACGACTCGACCTGCTTAATCCATCAACGCAGGATAGAGTCATTGCAAAACAGACGAAGATGAAAGAACGATATGATGTGAGCACCCGACCACGAGTCGTCGCGCCCAACGAAAGTGTCTACACGCGACTGGAACACGAAACGAACTGGTGTCCAGCGGTAGTTCGAAAAAGCGAGGGTCAAATAGTGGAATTAGAGTTAGAAGGTGGGAGAATTGTGCGTCGACATCTGGACCAAGTTCGCAGCCGAACGGACACAGTAAGTGGAGAATTCGGAGAGTTAGAACTGCCAGCAATCCTTGATAGGGATCCTGACATCCCGAGGACTGAGCCCCTTCTTCCTGCACAGGGCACTACGCCATCCACCGAGGCTTATATTCCACCTCCTTCTACCCCGGCCAGCACTAGCTTAGGGGCAGAGGAGCCAGTGACTGCACAAAGCGGCGCAGAGGTAGAAAATACCGCCCTGAGAAGATCGACCCGAAACCGCAAACCTGTCCAACGCTTTCAGGACGAATCTTATTAGAACATTGTCTGACAATCCACTATTACCATACTGTTCCCCTCCCCTCCCCCTCATGCTCTCCACTTTAGGGTGGAGGGATGCAGCGTATCCTGCCCGGGCCGTCAGGACATCATGCCACAAACGCGTGACAAACGAACGATCAAGTTCATGGCCCCCTGTTCACACCGTCTTTGTGCTGATTGGCCAGCCATCAACCTATGACAGTCCCCCTTGCCATATACCCGGCCGTTTCCACAAGCCTCCTCACTTGTGCTGTCTATCGTACTCAGTACACGTCCTATTTCCAATTAGCCTTCTGTTTTGCATACATAACAGGGAGGAGGAGGGAGGCTAGAAGGAAAGTAGGGGCTAATGGGTGAGGGCAGGCCACTAAAAGAATGAAATGGTGGGGAACCATGTCTAGATTGGAAGTCAAAGGAGAAAGGTTGACGTACCTGAGAGCAATTGGCCTTAAGTGGTGGGAAGCCTGAACTAGGTTGGGGCATAAATGACTTAGGGCAATTCATGTATGAATTATTTACTGGATATATAGTAGGGCTTTGATAAATAACCGGTACGCAGGACAGAATTATTCGGGGATATAATTGGCGCTGCGGGGTTTGTAGACGTGCTGGGCTGAACAGACTTGTTAGATCTAAGAGAAGGCGTCGAACACCTAAACGGAACTGTACTACCTATCTTTTGGGTCGGAGTCTGATTCAATTTTCGAGTCTCACCGCTCTGACGCCAAGCCACGGGTGACTTAGCTGTAGACCTTACAGCACCCAGTTGGACAATAGAAGTTATCGGTCTAGCTGATGTAGACGGATTTTCATGTGTCTCAGCGGGACTATCCGGAGGATACGAAACGACAAATGGGGCTGCTGCTGATGCTTCAAGTTTAGGGGCAGGCAAGTGCGTCAAGTGGCTTGAGTGAGATGGAGATGTAGGAGAAAGGGGAAGGAGGGAGTCAGATGTCGCAGGAGTAGGAGAAGCTGAATCCTTACGGCCACTTGTATTATGACCGAGTTGGGGAGCATTAGACTGAGAAGCAGTGGGTTTACGTGAGAATAGAGACCCGATTATACGTTCCATAGGAGTAAGATCATGGCAAAGGAAACATTTTGCCTTTTAGAGGTACGCAGTGACACGCTCTCGATGGGTAAAGATTGCGTTAACCTCGATTGATAAAAATAATTTGACTTAGATGGGTGGATTTTTGCTAAGGGAGGACAAGCGTTTGGCATCGGCTATTTCGTAGTTGAAACCACATGAATACAGAAAATTGGTCGCAAAATCAATTGGCCGCGCAGATCGAGGAACATTTCTTTAGCAGAAAGTTGTAAGAACGCTTCTGTCTATCATTAGATTCACTGGCGATTATGCGAACAAGTGAGTCGAGACGCCTACATTCTTCAGAGGGTATATCGGAGATGTTCCCGTCGAATAAATTTCCACGAATTGTCAGCAAAGTGCCAAACTTTAGCATACAGTCATTGCAGTGGTCAAGTGCAGACAGATCAATCTGCCGACCAATTACAACGGGTGACGATTGACTAGTAATATCTTCTGGCTTAGATTTAGGTAACGCTTCTGACTTACGTTTACTAAGACCATTTTTACTTACAAGAGCCGAGAGCTTACGTCGACCAGTGACTTTTGGTCGCATCTTGTCTCGAGGCAATTTGTGATTAAGAAAACTTCTGGCAGACATGTTGACTGAATTTCAGCTAGGGGCTAACTATTTAAAAATAAATTACAACAGTTAGAGAGAAATCGGATGCACAAAATGAGAATTGCAGAGTGCGATTAGTTAACAACGGGCATAGACTAGCAGAACTCGAAAGGAGATGGCAGCAGGCAGTTCTTAGAGAAGAGGCCTGTATTTAAGGAAATTCAACCACAAAACAGGTACTAAAATCGTTAGGTCTCACAGAAAAGCCACATAAAATAATATCCTCCACTTATCTTCAACTTTAAAACCAGCGGATTAATACGGCCACAGCATAAAAAACGATCCTGCGAAAGATGCCACTTGGCTTTTCTTAATCTAGTCACTTCTCTTCGTAATGAGCGGCAGTCAGTGGTAGTTATTTACTTTGATCCTAGCAAAGCCTTTGACAAGGTGCCCCATAGCCGTCTTTTAGTAAAATTGGAAGCTCTCGGCATCCGGCCGCCTCTACTCGACTTCATCAGGTCCTATCTGTCCAACCGATATCAGAAGGTTATGGTCGGTAATAGTTACTCGACACCCGATCACATGATCACGAGTGGCGTACTTCAAGGAACGGTCCTGGGTCCGCTACTCTCCCTTCTGTACATCAGTGATATTTCCACTGAACTCGGAAATTCGCAAAATTTACTTATGCCGATGACCTAAAGTGTGTTTACTCATACTCTAAGAACACCGCAAATGTTTGTGTTGAAAAAATAAATGCCGATTTACTACGCTTAAGCAGATGGGGTTCGACATGCCAGATGGAGTTTTCATCATCCAAGTGTAGTTTCATGTCTTTTGGTCCTACCAAACTTCCTGGTCCCGCTAAGTCGTATTAGCCGTCCGGTTATTGGCCAACCTTTCGTTGTCGGGGTTTATTTCCGGTTCTGGCAAGCCCGACCCCGTGGAGTATTTTCGGAGGACTGCGTGTCTGAATTGAAGGACCTACTAAATAGTGGTCTGCGTCTTCCACCGAAGGATGATCATGTCAGGGCAGCGCTCGAGAACATCTTCTGCGACACGCCTGTCCGTTCTTACATCAGTCAGGTGAAAGCCAGTTATTTCTATTGCATATGCGACAGGTATTTTTTTCATAAAAGAAACGGCAACTACTTTAGGTGTTGTCACGAAGGCCGGCCCATAGCCAACCGCATGAAATTTCCAACGCATAGTGGGCACTTGCGGGTCGATAGCTCATTTATTTTGCGAAGTCACGCGCCGCATCACAAGGGCATATCACCGTTCGAAGATTTGCCTGTTGATTTGGTTGGCTCGTTTCCAATCGATAATTTGCACCTTGTCTGTCTGGGTGCCATGCGGAAGTTGCTGCATTTGTGGCGACTGGAAGCCTACAGGTCATATACCCAAACAGATGCCACTATCAAGACATGAAGTCAATTTTTGCCTGCTAACTTTTCACGGAATGACAGACCTCTTGACTTTCTTGAATATTGGAAGTTCGCAAACTAACAGCAGTTTTTACTGTAAAAAGGTCTTATTCTTTGCTTCCTTATCTAGCTGACTCCGTCAACAGCCATTTTTTGCTCCTGTCCGTTGCTGTTTATATATTTTGTCACCCAACCTTGCATACATCCCGTGTCGATGTTGCCCGCATATTGGGGAATTATTGGTTTCTGATTTTCCAAATTTATACAATGATGCTAATATTGTCTTCAATGTCCATGTTCTTCTTCACTTAACCGATGACGTCGGTCGCCTTGAAATTCCGGACAGGCTTAAATAAAAATGTCAATATACTATGCTTGTGCAGATGGGGCTCCACATGGCATATGGAGTTTTCATCATCCAAGCGTAGTTTCATGTCTTTTGGTCCTACCAAACTTCCTGGTCCCATAATTTTTCAGAATAAACCACTCTCAGAATGCCTCACCATAAAGGGCCTAGGTCTAAGTTATACAAATAAGCTTGCATTATCACCTCATGCAGATAGAGTCTCTGCCAAAGCCGCATGCATATGTGGATTTGTATCGCATAATTTTTTTCTATCCGGAAATGAAGCTAAGACCTTATCAAATGGTTGTTCTTCCAATCCTCGCCTACTGCTGTCCTTTCTTCGGTTTAATAG